GGGAGGCGCGGGGAGAGGCGCGCGTGGCTGCCCGCACGCTCCAGGAGAGCGCCCGCCCTCTCCCCGCACAGGTCTACTACGTGACTGGCCCGCGCCCAGTTACCTACTCCAAGGTTGGGGGGTGAAGGGAAGGGGACGAAAGAAGATGCACGAGTCCGAGGCTGCAGTCTCCAGGGAAGCCGGTGCCACCGCATGAGAGGTAGCCGCGCTCGCAGTTACGAGGATACGCATGCGCGCCCTCCCGGCACCCGTCCAACCCACGCCGGGACGGAGCCTTAGCCGATTACCTTCCGGGGCAGTGCGCCTCTACGAGGGAAGCGGGCGGGCACTTCTGAAAGTCTCCTAACTCTTCCGGGACGCCTCTCGGGGAGCGGACTCGGGTGTTTGTGTGCGTGTGCAAGCGCGCTCTGAAAGTACGCCCCACAATTCTCCCCCTCTGCTCCCTTCCCTGCCACTTCCTCCTTGCTGTAGGGACCGGAAGAGTTCTTGAGCCAAAATAGCTCGGCGGGCACTTCCGGGGCTGGAGAAGTAGGTTCCGGGAGGTGCTGGACGCAGAGGCAGCGGCGGCGGCTGGAGGATGAAGAAGGAGCAGGTGCTGCACTGTCAGTTCTCCGCGTGGTACCCGCTCTTCCGAAATATCACCATCAAGAGGTAACTCAGGAGGGGCCTACTCCGGGACCATGGCAAAAGGAAACTGCGACATTTGGGGCAAATTCTATATCCATAAAAAAATGCCTAAGTAAAAAATGCAGGCCTTTGTGGGATGGGAGCGCCAAAGCCGAGATTTCGACTTCCTAGTGATATTTCAGGTGGGGAGATTAATGAAGTCGATCCATATTTGCTGTGCGTTCTGTTGCGGGTCAGAGAGTGTGCCAGAAGGTTATGTCATGGCTCAGAGAAGGTCAGAGGCTGGTGAGTAGTGGATTAAGCCAGTTTAGGCTTGTGAGTTCACCGTCATTGTATTTAGAATTACCAGAGAGGGGAGGAGATCAGGAGAACTGGGTAGTCCCGGCGTTGCCACTGACTAACCCAATTATATTGTGAAGCTCCAATGTGACAGTGTAGATGGAAAGCGTTAGTATAGTTACATATTCTTAGGAATGCTTGTACCGCAAGAGGAAGCTATCTGGAAAAGCTGTGGAACAATATTTGTTTTCTAGTTCTCCACCCTACAATCAAGGAATCCATCCCTATTTTGCAGGGCAAGCATAAGATTAACTGTTTCATCCTTCACCCAGGAAATTCAAGTATTGTAGGCAAGACAGCTAGGAGAATATCCCCAAATGTTCAAAAGCAATCATACCATCTGGAGCAAGATGCAAGGGTAGGTTTTCATTCACTAAGAGGCATAGAGCAAAGAACTGCATGTCCATGGATAGCATTTTCTGTTCTTTGCCCGGTCCTCCGTTAGGCCTAGTTTCCAGTTATTTAGATATCAACTGTCCCTTGCTTTTCATTCTGTCCTCTTAGTGCAGAGAGTGTGAATGCAGAGAGGGAAACTGTTTTGAAATCCTGAGGGATTGAAAGAGCATAAAGAGATTATTCAAGACAATTCTTTTCCATCCTCTTATTCATACATAGAATCAGCTTCCAATTACTCATGGTGTAATGGAGGTTAGAGTAGCTCAAAGGAGGATGACCTTTGTATTTGAAGAAGGTCAAAGTCACACCGAAACAAAAGGAAGAGCTTCAACAGCAGCAGTGGACATTACCTCCTATCCTAGAAGTAATTTTTCTATATGATATGCCAATCTTTCATTACCTTGCATAATTGAAATAGGCTGTGGGTCTGAGGTAATGATAGAGTTATTTGTTTTGGGTCGCTACGATATAAGGTATGTTTGTGAACTTGTCAGACATTTCACACTGAGTTCGCTTAAAATGGGCATTTACTTTCTGTGCAGTTCTTTTGCAACCTCTGGTGTACTTTTTCTTTGCCTTCAGCAGTAAAATATAATGGTTAAGAATTGGACTCTGGAGTCAGGGCCATCTGCCTGTCTTTGAATTTTGGTTCCACCAACATCTTGAGCAAAGTGTGTAATCTAAGTCCTATCTGGGAAATTGAGACAGTAACAGCCTTATCATGGGAATTAAATGAGATAAAGCATTTAGGATGCTTGCCACTGTTTCTGACATATAGTAACCAAATTTGCTGCATGTTGTTACATTTTGGATTTTTTATTTAATCAAAGCTCAATTGAAGCAAAGTAATTTTAGTTTACTTAAAATGTGCAACATTCACATGAAGCTGAGAGTGAGAAATAAACCAAGAGGTGGGATTTTCTGAACAGTTAAAAACTAAACTGTGCTTCCTGAAACCATCCTTTACTCTCTTTAAACTCTTCAGTGTAGTCCCTCATGTGGTGAGATCACTGAACCTAACATATGGCAGGATACCCCTCCACAACTCAGGCCAGTCGGGTGGAATTGTTAGCTTTGCCATTGCCATTGTCAGCTTTAATGCTGAGAGACTATATTATATTCTGTTTTTTTACTCAGCATTATTATTTAGGGTCAGGGGTGATTATGCACTTAAGAATGGAAGTACAGTGCTCGCTTCGGCAGCACATATACTAAAATTGGAACGATACAGAGAAGATTAGCATGGCCCCTGCACAAGGATGACACGCAAATTCGTGAAGCGTTCCATATTTATTGGAAAAAAAAAAGAAAGAATAGAAGTACATTTTTTGGTAAGTTCTAGAACTTTGACTCAGGCTTATGAACAATTAGCTAGAGGACTTCGGGCCATCCACTTTACCTTTCTTTCTTCCTTCAAACATGAAAGTTATAGTAATCTTATAAAGGCCCCTTCTACCTCTAAAATTTCATTAGAGTAACTTGTCTGTATATCTATAACTCTATCAGCCTGGTGGTGTAGGTACTTTGTCATTTAAGTCTTTTACATCTGCCAGTTAAGCCCATTGGATTCTTGCCTGAATAATAGATTTCAATGACCAATTTAAGCTCTTCTCTGACAGCCTTATGTGTAAAGCGTGCCTGGCAATGACTTGTTCTATGGCTTCAGTCTTTCAGGGATGATTCCTTTTTCCTCTGAGTTTTGATAGCATTTGGTACATCTTGGCCCGGCATTTACCATATTGTACTGTGATTTTTTCCCTTTTATATCTTTCTCCCTCATAGGCTTTGCATTCTTTTTATTTTTTTATTTTTTATTTTTATTGACTTTAGAGAGAGAAGAAGGGAAGGGAGAAAGAGAAACATTGATGTGAGAGAGAAACATAGATCTGTTGCCTTCCATATGTGCCCCTACCAGGGATCAAACCCACAACCTGGGTATGTGCCCTGATCGGTAATTGAACCCGCAGCCCTTTGGTGCACGGAACGAAGCTCCAACCAAATGAGTCACACTGGCCAGGGCAGGCTTTGCATTCTTAATGGAATCACCTTGGTATCCTCCTTGACTTACATGATATAATGCAAGATAAATCATAAGGATGAGTTTAGAAATGACTGCAGAACTCAGTGACTCATGAGAACTAGAGTCCAACTTGATATCACCTAATAGAGGTAAGAGTTGTAGACCCTCCAAATAGGAAGAATATGCAAATAATTTATAATAGAATCAAACAGTAAATAGATATTTTGAATCTAATCAAGGGATGATAAAACTTGGAGGGAAAGCCCATATTCAAATCAGACTTGAGAATTAGTGTACTAAAAAACAAATGACATGGACTCTGAAATCATGGATTTGGGGACTGAGAGACTTTATTGACATAAAAGAGGACTCTGTCTGCTCTCACTGTGGTCAGGAAAATCACCCTAGATGTCTAGGAGCTGGCATTCCTGCCAACATTTCTGTCTCAGGCCCCTGATAAGATAAACTTCATATTCTCTTGGAAAGGTGGTCTCTAATTCTCTTGGGATGACATTGTTACTTTAGTGGGTATCTTTAACCCTAGGAAGAACTAGAATTAAACAGAGGTGATGAAATAATTCAAACTTAAGAATTTTATCTATTTTTCTAAGTTTATTTAATATCTTTAAAATTTTGCCATTTTGAGGATAATTAGCACCTACCCTATATAATAGAGAGCTAATATGCTAATTAGACTGGACAGCCGAACGACCTTCTGGATGTCCTTCCGGATGACCTCCTGGACGAAGCTGGGGCTGCGAGGGCCAGCCAAGGCAGCTGGGCCGACTGAACACCAGGCTAGGGAGTTGAGGGAGCGGGAGCTGTGGGCCCCCGGCTGCCTGTGGTGCGGCAGCAGAAGAGGGAGCTGTGGGCCCAAATGACCAAAGGACCAGTCTGGCTCTCACGGTGTGGCGGGGCAGGGCCTCAGAGGCTGTGGAGCCTCACAGGGCAGGGGCTGTGAGCACGGAGCTTCACAGGGTGGCTGAGGCCGAGCCAACTTTCTGCAGCTGGCCAACCTCCCACG